TTCAACATCGATGATCAAAAAAAAAATCGAAAAACAAAATCAGACGACAGCAATGCCAACCAGTGTCCAAGGAATTGGCGCCATGACTGGTGGAGTATCAGCAATACCAACCAACACTATTCCAGGAGGACTTCAGAACGCCAATATGGCGGGACTTGAACTTGGCAAGAAACGGATGCGCGACTCCAATGATGATCTGCTAATGGTACCACGGCTTATGCATGAACTACACACTTTCCCTTTTATTTTATTTTTTTTAATTTTCTTTTGTAGTCAGGAAACTCGGAAAAACTGTTTTCAATTTCATCCATTTTTCCATTATTATTATTATACCTTTCTATTCATGGTTGTGGAAATTCTTTTCATTTTTCATTTCTTTTAATTCTTTTTTTCAATGAACACTGATTTTATTTTTTCAAACTAATTCATATTGGTAATTAATAATAACAATAATTATTATTAGTAACCTAATTTTTAAAACAATTAATTTTCGTACTAATTGTACGGAAGGCACCGTCTTTATTTTTTTAAATAAATAAATAAATAATTAACTAATAATAATAATAACAATAACAAATGATTCTATTAATAATAATAACTATAAATAAATAATAAACTAATAATAAGTCTAACAATAAAAAAAATAAAAATAAAAAATAATCTAGAGTTGCTTAACCAACGCGATTTTTACGTCAGGATGTAATTGCTTTAACAAAATTAAATTTTTTTATAAATGCTAATGAATAAAAACAAATTAATGACTTCGGAAGGAAATAAATCTAATGGAATTTTTGCTAAGTACCAAATAATATAATAAAAAAAATTCGTATAGTAAAAGTAATGTAAAGAATATAAAATCGAATAATAATAAATAATCGATTAATATAATAAATTTATTCGTATGGTGTAAAAGTAAGAACAATGTTATTAATTTTATTATTTAAAAAAAAATTGCTAATATTAAAAATATTTTAAAGATAATAAACATAGTAAAAAATAAAAACAAAATAATAATAAACACTAGAATAATTTAAAAAAATCTATTTCCAAGGGAAAAATTTCCACAACCATTTATTTAAATGCCGACGCCCTTTTAAATTTTTTTAAACTATAACATTTTTATATTTTTATTTTATTGTTTTAATTTTGTTTTTCGAAACCTGTTTTTGAAGCATTTTGCAATAAAAGGTGAACTATTTTTGTTTTTTTTATAAATGAAAATAGGAAAAGTTGAATTGTATTTACATGGTCTTTTCCTTTTCGTTCCAACTGACTTGTTAGTTTCAAGTTTAAATCAAATTAGCTTCGATCGATTAAATTCCCAATTTTCAGAGATACGTGCAACAGTTCTCGAGTTTCCTGTGCAGTAAATACGATTAAGTTACAGATACCTATAGTTTACTGCGATTGTGAATACACTGCCGAGCGCGCTTAGAGCTCTAGCTCCTGTTATTTCTTTGTCATGTCTAACGAAACAGAACCGTTAAACCACGCGTCGCTATTGGATTTTATCATTTCAAAAACAGAGCAGAATGAAAATAAATGAAAATAATAAAAATACAACATAAAAAAAAAGAATTTGTAAAATCGAATAAAAAGAAATTATTCGAAAATAACTGGAAAGAATTTATTCTCAATTTTTCTATTTAGAGAAATTTAAAATTTAATTAAAACTAAATTTATCTAATTTAAAGAAATTCGAAATTTTTATTTTAAAAATTAATTCATTTCAATTACTTAATTTAATTTTTAAAAAAAATGTTAGTGACTTGACCGTTACCTTTAATTATAAAGAACGGAAAAATATGAGAGAATTGTTTTCTCTGGAAGTGGGGGGACTAGAGACCGGACCACATCTCCCATTGGATGATGAGCGGAGAGGGGGAACGCTGGGCGGAGCAAACGGTCACTGACCTTCCCCCTCCCTGCGCTCTTCTCGCTTCTTAACTCGCTTGATTTAAAAATTTAAAAGAAAATTAAATTTAAAAAATTATTTTATTTATTTTAAAAAAATTCCCAGTTTTCAATTTGGAAAAAAAATGGAAAACATAACTATAATTAAATATTTTATAATTATTAGTAATTATTTAATTTAAAAAAAAAACTTTAAATAATACTTTTGCGTACTATTAATAAATTATTAACTAAAATGAAAATAGATTAATAAAATCCTAGTGACTCGTGGTTATTGAAATAATAATATGAGACGGTTCAGTTTTCGTAATATTCGTATAATATCTATTTTGCATCATGTGACACGACACCATTGGCTTTCTTCAGAAACAAGCGCAAAAATTCTTTCATATATCTTCTTTTTAAAAAATATATATATTTTTAAATACCAAAAAAAAAATATATATATTCGCTTCTTTCTGTTCGTCCATTGCGATGTTGTCCGTTCGGAGCTTACGCCTCGTAATGTATTTATAGATCGCTTTACCAATCTTTTATTTTCACAAAATATTTTTAAGTCCATCAGTAGCAATGAATTCTTAACAACAGTTTTTTAATAATAATCAAAATAATAATAACTGTAAATAAATAAATAATAACAATTAGAATTCCTTGCTACTGATGTGCCATATAAATTTATCGTTAATTCCTTTTTGGCAATTCTTTGGTCGATATTATTAAATTAATTAATCAAATTTTCCAATGATCGACCATTGCAATTATATCGTAAAATACACTTTTATTAAATCTTTCGACCATTTTTTTCATTTAATTATTAAATTTAAAATTGACTTTTAAAATTGAATTTTAAAAATAAAATTAAGAAATTAAACTCAAAAAATAAAAATTAAAAACTTTTACGTACTAAATAGTTATAAATAATAACAGAAATAATATTAATAATCATAAAAGTATTTTTACGACATAAATTGCAAAATATACTATTGTAATTCTGATTATTATGATCGATACCTCTTTTATTTGGAAGAAAATTTTATTTCTTTAATTCAATGTTAATTATTTAATTGAATTTAAGTGAATTTGAAATTTACCAGTGTTTATGTCGATGGAATGGAAATCTAGAAAATTTCGTAACATTTAAAAACTGATTTTTAGTTTTATTTTTGAAAAAACTGAATTTCAAAGAATTGGATGATTTTTCGTTCATAGAGATTTTCAAGTTCAATTTATTGTATATTTAAATCAATAAATTATTTTTAATATTACAATTATAAATTATAATTAATTATAAAATAATAATTGTTATTATAATTATACTTACAATTATAATTTATCATAATATTATAAATTTATAACTCGAAAAAAAAATTTCATCTCCAATTTTTATGAATTAAATATTTTCATATTTCGTCGATGTAAATATTGTTAACATATCAATATTCATTAGGATGAAGAGGAACCGATCTTGGTAATTTGATCCGTATAATTCTCAGCTTGCGCCGATGATGCATGTTGTGCTTTCGCGACCCCGAGGTGATGGTGCAACGTCATCTCCTCGACACTCGGAATGATGACCGAGTGTTTTTTTTTATTATTTTTATTTTTTTTTCTCAAAATAGAAATTCAGTGATATCACCAAACTGGCCTTTAAAAATCGATTTATTTTTTTCTTTGTTTGTTTGTTAACAGCCACTATTCATTCACTAAAAAAAAAAATTACGTCGTGTTCACAAAAAAAAAATCTAAAAAAACGCACTGTAGATCGCTTACACACTCGCTACCATTTCTCTTTCATCGAAAAACACAATTTCTTTCATTGCTATTTCTAAAAAAAAAAAAAAAAAAAAAACAGCAATTTCACGAGGCACGCCTATTATTTAGTTTTTTGCAAATTCATTTTTTTGTGTGTATATATTTTTAAAGGGAGGGGGGAGGATATCCAATCGAGACCAAAAAACGTATCAAAATTTTGCTTTGCAACTATTTTGATACATTTTTTGTCTCAATTTGAAAACAAAATTTGAAAAACTTTTGGGGAAAATAGATGAAACGGTTTTATGAGAGGAAAATAAAATTAAATGTGGATTCTAGCAAAATTGGGGATTTTTTGAATAAAGTTTAAAGTTCCACCAATAGAAGGTGAGGGAGACTCAATGAAGGCGGGTCCAGAGTGGGAGTGGGGGGCGCTGGGCGGAGCGAGTACTTTCCCCCTCCACGCGCTCTCGGTCCAATCACTTCCTGCCTCGTTGGTCTCTCTCCCCTTCCACTGACGGAACGACAAATCTTTTCTCCGAATAAGAATTCATTTCGGGTAATTTTTTTTTTAAAACGTGTGTGTTGCGTTTGTTTACTAACCAAACTCGCGCTTTTCAAAATAAAAACGCACTTCCTTGTGTCAGTCTATAACTCATTCGTTCTAATAAGTCCTTTAGAAATCGATCATCTACACTTTCTTTGCCTTATCAAAAAATTGTCTCTTATAATTCGCGTTCTTTCCAAAGCTTTTATTTTTGAGTAGCTTTCTTGCATCTCGTCGCAGCTTCTAACTTTAATTTCTTTCGTTTCTCTTTATTTGCTTTCTCGGATTAAAAAAAAATAGTCGAAGCAATTTTTTTTTACAACGGGACATTTTAATTTCTTTTTATGATTTAAAAATTGATATACCTGCTAAATGTGAATCTTATTTTTGTTTCACCCAAAAGAGTGAGGATTAAGGTTTCTTTTTTGTCGATTCATTATTTTCCTTGGAAAACTTTTGGCCTCGTTAAACTTTTTCATACACGCCAATGACACAGCACAGAAAGAAAAAAAAATTACGGGAATATAAAATTTGAAATAATCACGCGCACTTTTCAATGGCTGGTTTTTCTGACATTTTTTGCAAAAAAAAAAAGAAAACAAAGGGAGAATTTACAGTTGCATATACAAGAAGGATCGTCGCTTGGGAAACGTCGCTGCAAGCTGCGTCATCGGCACAACAATAACTCCAATAAAAAAAAATTAAATATAAAATGCCCTTCAAAAATTAAATTTTTGTAGCCATGTCCTGAAAAACAAGTTGAAACACGAAACTGTCTTTGTTGCAGATGGACATGAAGTCTGTCGGGTCGTTCTACTACGAGAACTTTGTAAGTGCAGAAACAACAGAATATTTGAAAAAAAACAATCCCCTTGGGTCAAAATAATGTTTCTTTTTTTTAATAAAGACGTGACAAGGAGGAAAATTCTCTTTTCAAAAAACTAGGTTTATTTGAAGAAAACTAATGGTAATGTTAAACTCTTTTTTGGTAATTACAGGCCTTCCCAGGAATGGTTCCGTACAAACGTCCGGCGGGCGACAAGTCCGGCGTACCGGTTTATCAGCCAACCGGTGCGACGACCTATCAGCAGTTAATGCAGCTTCAGCAGCCCTTCGTGCCTGTGTCATGTGAGTACACTGGAACGCCACCCCTACCCGCCCAATCCTCAAATCATCAATCGGTTCAAAACACAATACAAAATCAAGCAGCGGCGGTGAACGCCGACACCAATGGTCACGGGCTCCTTCTGGATCCCAACAATCCGCCACCGCCGCCGCCCGCCTCAGTGGCAACGAGCGGCGACAAAAACACAACCTCAAATCACGACACCGACACAACACAAACAACAAATCCCGAATTGAATCACACAAATGCGTCGCATCAATTGGCCCTACCAGCGCCGCCCATGAGTCCCATGACATCAATGTCCGGTTTGACCTCCGTCCCAAGTGTCGTCGTCAGCATGAATCCAATGGTCTCAGTCGCCACGTCCATGGCCAATTACACAATGGCCAACATGGCGAACCTCAATGTTCTCAGCTCCCTCGGTATGGCGCCATCACTAAGTCTCGATCCCGCCACACTTGCCAAAGAGGTAGCGCAAAAAAATTACGCCAAGGCTCTAAAACTCTCCCAAGCCACTCAACAGTCCTACGCGATGAATCCTCTAAACGCATTAAATTACACCGGTGTTTCACTCAATAAACAAGCATTATCAGTGGCAAATCATCATCATCATCATGCGGGAATGCCGGGTGCCGCTGCACCTAGACAAGTCGTGTCTGGCCTTGCTGGTATTGGTGGCGGTCTCACATCCCCCCTCCAAGCTGGAATACTATCCTATCCGCGTGCTCCGGCGAGCGCCACCTTCAATCCTTATTCATTGATTAGGCAACCGCCGATGCTCCATACGAGTCCCTATATGCAGACATCCTTGCCTACTATGCAAACGGCCGCTACTGTTCAATCACCTTATTTGCAAAGTCATTACGCGGCAATGCTGCCAGGTGTCGCTGGCAATCCGGGATTCGCCACTGCGGGACTTCAGGCAATGCCACAAATGCAAACCGCTAGTCCAGCGACTATTGCGGCTCAACCGCAGGTCGCCATGCCTGCCAGTAGCGGTGTTATTATGCAGCCCTATAAGAAAATGAAGACCACTTAAATTCTTTGCGTCAGTGTTTTTTTTTCGTTTCGTTTTCGAATTTTTGCGGGAAAAGAGAGGCTCTCTTTTTCAGGGTTTACAAAATATGGTTCCTTGCCTAGGATCTCAGATTCTTTACTCTACTTATTAGTTTTCTTGTTTGGTACTATTTGGTACTACTGGTATTGTTCGGTATTCCTAGTAGTATTCGATACTCCTAGTAGTATTCGGTATTACTAGTAGTATTCTGTACTCCTAGTAGTAATCGGTATTACTAGTACTATTCGGTATTCCTAGTAGTATTCGGTATTACTAGTACTATTCGGTATTCCTAGTAGTATTTGGTACTCCTAGTAGTATTCAGTATTACTAGTACTATTCGGTATTCCTAGTAGTATTCGGTATACCTAGTAGTATTGAGTATTCCTAGCAGTGTTCGTTATTACTAGTATTACTCGGTATTACTTGTACTATTCGGTATTCCTGGTAGTATTCGGTATTCCTAGTACTATTCGGTAACCATCAAGAACTAGTTTATTTTTAGCTATACTTTTAACACTAGTGGTCAAATGTGATTTTTAAATTGTCGATTTTTTACGATTAATAAATTTTTAAGATTGTCGATTACTAGAAATAAATTTGTATAAAGTAAAAAAGGGTCAATGTCCAAGAAAAGGAAACTAAGGAACAAGAAACTTTCAAAAAAATTCGATTTTTAGTTTTGAAAATGAAACTTTAGTTGTTAGTTGTAATGGCCCGGTGGGTTAGGTGAGCGACTGCTGAAACAGCGTCGAGGGTTCGATTCTTCTCAAAAGAGTTTTTTTTTCAGTAAAGTTTTTTACTGACTCAACTGGGTAGTCGATTTTTTACTCGATTAACTTTAACTATCGCTTTGTTTTAACAATAAAAAAGAAAGAAAAAGAAAAAATATTGTTTTTCGAAAAATGGTTCCATTTTTAACAATACAAGAACAATTTTCAAGATTGTTCACTATAAATAAGAAACTGGGAAAGAAAAAAAAGACCAATGTACAAAAAAAGAAACTTTCGAGAAAATTCAATTTTTTCTTTTGAAATTAAAAAATCGTAGTTAATAGTTGAAATGGCGCGATTGGTTAAGTCATCGACTGCTGTAAAATCGTCAAGGGTTCGATTCTTATCAAAAGCAATTTTCTTTTTTCGGTCGGTTCACTCAAATAACTTAACTACTGCTTAATTTTAAGAAACGGGAATTAAAAACGGAAATTAATCAAAACAGAAATTTATCCGAACAAAAAATCGACAATTTACTACACTTTTTAGAAATTGACGAAAAAAATATCGCTACTTCGTACTCTAGAAAATTAGTTTTGAATATAAGGATCAAAATTACAATTGAAATCAAAATAAATTTTTGATGTAGGAAAATAAAACATAATTTAATGAAAATAAAGAAAAATAAACTTTTAATAATTAAAACTCCAGAGGAAGAAAAATCAAAATACTTTCTCTATTTTTTTATAGCAAATTTCTTTCTTACAAAAACTAATCAGTTGTCGTTAGTTAATAATTATTATAATTAGTTACATAAACTAATAAATTCTATTTTTTAATGTGTGTCAACGTTTGCCTTTTTTTTACTAACATGAAGATCAATAATTTGAAAAATAAAATTATGTCTCTTCAATTTTTACAAAAAAAAAATATTCAAGTTTTAAAATAAAAAACATTCAATTTTTTAATTGTAATTGATTTTTAATTTTAAAAAATTCAATTCTTTACAATTTCTTTACTGTTTTTTTATTTTTATCTTGTTTATTGAAATAAGTGTGTTAATTATTATGATAAGTTAGAAGAATTTATTAATTGAAAATTGATTAGCACTTAAGTAATTGTTTTATAATAATTTTATTTATTAATAAAAAAGTTTTAATAAATAATTTTTTATCTAATTCCTAAAAATTGTGTCTAATCCAAGAAGATTTAAATTAATTTTTTTTCAAATTTACTTTTTAAATTCAACTATAAAAATTTTTATTTCAACATCAAAATTAGGAAGAAAGTCATCAAAGTTAGAAATCAACTTCTAAAATCGAAATTAAAAAATAATTTCCAATTTTATTTTTCTGAAAATCAAAATTCTAATATTTAAATATAACAGAATCGAATTTTTGTAATCCAACAATCAAATTACAATAAAATGATTGTTAAATCCAGAAGGTTAATCAAAACCAAAAGTTAAATTAAAATCTGAAAAGTTAAATTGAATTTTTAATTCACTGTGATCCTATTTTCAAAACTAATATCAAAAGACTGAGAGAGTGAAAAAAATTTTTTTAATCTCCGAATTTTTTTTTCAATTTATTTTTACTACTATAAAAAACAAGATGAAAGAATAAAAAAGAATTTCTCATTGGGCAAGGGACCTAGTTGCGGACTAGTTGAAAATAAAAATTCGAGCGACATTGAAAAATACAAAGTTCCAGAATAGCTTCGTTTTCTAGTCAGACATTGTCGGTAAACAGTGCCTTATCGACCCGATACCGCGCATCCGTTTTTTTTATTTCATTTTCAAATATTACTTGACGGCTGTAAAAATTGCCAGCGACGTTTTTTTTTAGAAAAAAAAACGAAATTATTTTTCAATTCACAACAAAACGTTTGCGGGTTTTTTTTTGATAATTTTTTTTCTCTCTTTTTTTTATTTATCAAAAAAAAATACTTGCGTTGAGGTTTTAATGGCTCAAGACTGTGACATATTCATTGGAAGTCCTCCTTTTTTTTACTCCCAAGCGATTTTAAAACAAATCGTCCAATCTTTTGTCATTTTTGTTAATTCGATTCAAATTTTTGCAAATTCATTTATACATTATTTTCAAAAGAAAAAAAAATTTTGGTTTTCGAATTTTCAAAAATGACCAAGGATGATTGAATTTTTGAATTCAAATTCCCTTGACCCCTTAAAATTGTTTTCTCTTTTTGACGGTGAGATTTAGTTTTTAGCAGATTTCAAAATATTAATCATATTATATTCTTCTATAATAATTATTACAATTGTAATATATATATAATTAATTTTATTAATAATCGTAAAATTTTTGATAAAAATTAGTATTCTAATTATTATAAATTTATAATAATTTTATAATACAGAAATAATAATTATAATTTTATAATAAAAATTATAAGTTTTATAATATTACAATACTAATTATTATTATTATTATTAATTAATTATTATTCTTATATTAATATTTTTATTAATATCGTTATTATTGAATATTTCTAGTTAATAAAAATTGTGCAAATTAGTTTAAAAAAAAATGATAAGCGCGTTTTTGTCTTCGATTCAATTCGGGAGAAGTTCGATAGCAACGGTGAACTACGTGAAACGTCAAGTTCAAAACCGGTGCATTTATTTAAAAAAAAAATAATAAATGATTTGATAATTATGCATTTAAATTGCAAAAAAAAAGGTAGAGAAAATGACGTGAATACGAGTTCACTTGCAATATTCTCTAACAAACACAATACACTGACACCGTTTTTACAAAATATCCTTATTAAAAAAAAGAGCGTTTCACTGTGACGTATTTTTCACAAGCCCCCGCTGGGAAAAAAAGAAGAAAATTCTTGATTAAAGAATAAAAGGTTTCTTAAAAAAAAAGAAACTCAAGGCAAATAAGGAGAAAAAAAAATGAATAGAGAATTAATGTTGTCGTTGTTCGTTAAATTTATTATTATTACTATTATTATTAAACTATGATTACTTATTAATATTATTGCGAAATGCAAACAAAAAAAACCACTTGCCAGTGATTTGAGCAGTCTAGATTTTTTGGCGTATATATTATAATATATATGTATATGTACATATTTTTCCTTTTAAAACAAAGATGTCGAGATAATATAAAAAAGTTCGTACATATTATAGAACACTTTAAAAGAAAATACACATTTACACGAATATTAAGATAACAACAAGAAAAAAATTAATAAAAAATATATATAGACATTTATACGTTCATCCTCCCGTATGATAATCAACTAAAAAAAAAAAAAACGTCGAGACAAAAGTGAGAGAGGAAAACGTGTCAACGTAGATTTTATGTAGGGTTTCACATTGTATCATGATGTATAGGTTAGAGCTGTACGACGGTCATACTTTTTTCAAAGCACTTCAGAAAATAATGTCACACGTTGCGGGGAATTTTTTTTTTTGTTTCTTTAAAATTTGAAACTAAAAAGATGGAAAAGAAACGAAAAAGATAGAAAAGAAATAAAAAAAATAGAAAAGAAAAGAAAGAAAAAAAGAAAAGAATGAAGAAAAGGGGAAAAAAAGAAAGAAAAAAGGGAAAAAATAGAGCGACAAGGGAGGGAGAAAGGGAAACGAGTCAAAAGTGGGCGGTAACAAGTGCTGCGCGCATCGCACCACGCACAAAAGTAGGGGAAGCGCACCGCCTACAAGTAGTGACCGCGCGCAGCAATTGGCTCCGTCCAGAGAGTGGAGGGGGAACCGCGATCGCCGGCTTACTTATAAAGAAGTAAAAAAAATCACAGTTTAAAGAAATAATATACAAATAAAGAAATAAATTACAGAAAATAGAGTTTGAATAAAGAAATAAAATCAAAAAATAGATTTCAAAAATTAAAAAAAAGGTTCTTAAAAAAAAAAAAATTCAAAATTGAAAACCGAATTTATCTTCCACTTAATCAACACTGTTGCATTGTTCTCTGAAGTTCTTTGATTCCAGTTTTATAGATGAAAAAACGAACCTCTCGATATGAATGTCGCACAATATAAAAATGGAATTGCGAAACTTTGACGTCGAGTCTTCCAAATGAAGAATTAAAACTTTAAAAAAAAAAAAAGAGAAACCCCCCAATTATTTTTTCATTATTCTATTAAATCAAGGGGTTAAATTTATAATACATTTTTTCATCTAAACACTGGAATTAATGTCAAGTGCCGTCATTGTGATAGTATACGTAGTATGTAATACAGCATAAAGTCCTAAAAAAAAGCATACATTTAAAGAAAAAAAAATATATGCACGCGAACATTTTATAATAATAATAATAGAACACAAGAGTTCACAAAAATTTTCAACGCGTGTAACATTTTACATTTTTGAGTGAACTCATAATTATGGCCTCTTGCTGCAAAAAAAAAAAAAAAAATGAAAACTGTTAAAGAGCCCTTTTTTTGTTCATCACTGAGAAAATATTAATTTTTTTCCAAAATGAAAAAGCAAAGATGAAAAATTAAAAAAAAATTCTAATTCTAATTGAAAATTTGTTCTAATTTTCGAAAAAGAAAAATGTTAAGTATTTTCTCAGTGGTAATCAATTTTTTTTTGCATCTAGATAAATGGAATTTTTTCAAAAATGGGCTGAATTGTGATTTCAAAAATTCGTCGATTATGAAAACAAAAAAAAAAACTGAAAATAACAGTTAATTCTGCAGCAATTTTTTTTTTAAGAAAAAAAGGGTTCCTTCATAAAACATTAGGACAAACACGAGAGGGTGGCTGGTTTCGATAATATCCGATGATTGAAACTCTTTTTCTTCAATTCGAATTTTAGAGAAATTTTTTTTAAGAAACTTTATTTTAATTAACAAGAAGATAATTAGTTTCGATAGAAAAAATTTGTGTATAGAAAATTATTTTTTATCTCGAAAAGTTTACCGCTGGAAATTTTTTTCTTCGTTGATATTAATGGAAAATTTAATTTTTACATTTTAATTCAATTTGAAAATGAAATATTATAGTGATTCTAAAGGCGAAAATTTATTAATTTAATTGAAAATAATTAACAATTTTTTAAATTAAACGAAATAGGTTAATTGTGGTCGATTCTAAATTTAATTAATACCTTCTGCAGTCTATTTGATTTTATACATACATTACATTTAATTAAACTA